GAACTATTGTACTACCTGACTTCAAAATATGCTACAAAGCTGTGGTAATGGCTTTGTAAAACATGGTACTGATTTCAAAATAGAAACATAAACCAAAAAAACCAGAATGGAGACCATAAAGGTAAACCCACACTTCCACAATCAACTAGTGTTTGACAAAGATGTTATCAATATACATTGGAGAAAGGTCATTCTATTTAATGCATTGTGGTGGGAAAAGTGGGCATTCACATGCAGAAGAATAAAACTAGAGCCCGATCCCTCCCTTATCATTTACAAAAATCATCTTAAAGTAGATTAAAGACTTAAATGCGTGTATATGTTGGACCCGGAACTATGAAACTACTAGAAGAAAGCACAGGAAAAGTGGCTCAGGGGACTGAGGTGGACAAAGGTTTATTTGGACAGGACCCTCAAAGCACAGGAAACAAGAGAAAAGTAGATGGATGTCATTCTAAATGCTTCTACATAGCAAAGCAAAAATTGATGAAGAGACAAACTACCAACTGGAAAAATACATTTTCCAGTTTCTATGGCAAGGAGTTAATGTCCATAATATATAGGAACTCAGAAAACTCTGTAACACACATGCACACATCACTCAATTAAAAAATAGACAATAGGCCTAAATAGACATTTCTCCAAAAAAGACAACCAAATGGCCAACAGATGTATGAACAAAACACTCAATATCACTAATCATCAGGAAGATGCAGATCAAAACCACAATGAGATAGTGGCTCCCTCTAGTTAGAATTGTTATTACCAAAAAGACAAATGATAAGTGCTGGTAAGGATGAGGAGATAAATGGAACCCTGGCACACAGCGGGTAGGAACGTAAATTATGGAAAACAGTACAGAAAAGCTTCCTCGAAAAATGAAAAACAGAACTATATGATATAGCAATCGCACTACTGGGTATAGATCCAAATGTCAAGAAATCAGTGTTTCGAAGAGATATCTGAGCTCCCATGTATATCACAGTGCTATTTACAATAGCTGAGAAATGGAAACAAACTAAGTGCTCGTCAGCTAATGACTAGATGAAGAAGAGGTGATTGTACACACAATGGAATTATTCAGCCATAAAAAGAATGAAACCTTGTCATTTGTGACAACGTGGGTGAAACTAGAGATCATTGCATTAAGTGAAGCAATCCAAGCACAGAAAGACAAGAACTGCATGAGTTTACGCATATGTGGAGTTCTAAAAAACTGACCTCATAGCCATTGAGAGTAGAATGGTGGTCACTACAAGCTGGAGCAGGTAGGAGGGAAGGAGAGATGGACAAAGGTAAGTTACATAGGAGTAATAAGTTCTGCTGTGTAATATATTTACAGTGGTGTAAATATATTTCAGGAATCTAGAAGAAGGAATTTTGAACGTTTTTACCATAAAAACGATAAATATTTGAGGAGGCATGTTTAACATGATTTAAAAAATATTCAGTGTATACATGTTGTCAAGGTATCATCACATTGTTACCCCATAGATATGAAATATGGTTTTATGTATCAACTAGAAATAAATTTAATTAAAACAATAGAAACAAAGACTTTTTAGAGCAAGAATTTGAAGCTGGGTGGCTGGTGATCCAGTGGATTTCACCACTCCTCTATTCTGTTCCCATCCATCTCTAGGAGAGGTGCTCTGAGAGGAAGGTGTATTCCAGGCACGGGAAAGGGACAATCTCTGTCCCAGAGGAACAAATTGGCATCTGCTTTGCACTCTGGCTGGTGTGAATTGGGTTAATGCAAGTCTATGCCTGAGATGTACTGAGACCCTCAGTCCCTGATCTAAGATTCGAAAGGCAAAAGCCTCCACTCGGAATGGCTGAGCCCGGAGGTCCTGCTAGGTGAAAAGGAGGGAGGAGGCGGGAAGCCTTTGCTCACACAAGTTATTTTAGCCCTCATTTTACTTGGCCTCTCAATAGCACACAGCTTTATTAGAATAACATTTTTCTAGCCTTTTAAAAGCTTTTCAGCAGCTGAGAGATGTCCACTTGCTTAAGCTGATATTAGTTTCTCTCTGTCTCTCGATTATTTCACCAGTGGTTTTCAGTTTTATTAGACCTTTTGAAGACTCAGTTTTTGGTGCTGTCACATCTCTGCATTATATACTTGTTTTCTATTTTTTTCACTTTATGCTCTTATCTTTAATATTTCTTCTATAATCTTTGAGTTTATTTTGATGATTTTTTTCTACTTGATTGAAAAAGATACTTAGCTCTATTTTTAAACTCTTGTAACTTACTAACATGGCAAATATAAGTCGAATACAAATATTCAATATTCAATTTAAAACATAATATTTTTTCTATCTTTTTGTTATTTGGTGCGCATTTAATTTTATGTTCTTTAAGACTGAAATCTTCTACATAGTTAATATCTGTGAATCACTATATGGTCAGTTTAAATACATTTTTCAAGTGTGTTTGAAGAAAAACATATCATCTGCAGCTGTTGAATGCTATTTTCTATGTCCTCTAGGTGAAGGTTGTTAATCTTCCTTTTTAAAATTTCTGTATGTCTACCAACTTTTTTCTTTTTGTTGTATGAATTACTAATGGGATGTATTAAAATCATCCACTGTGATTGTAGATTTTGAAACTTTTTTAAAGCTTTGATAACTTTTGCTTTATATGGTTTTGAAGTTATATTACTGAGTGCATACAGATTAGACTTCTTTCATCTTTTTGGTCTGTGGGTTATAATTATGAATGAGTCTGTTTATTTTTCATAATGCTTTTTCTTTAAAAAGAATTTTTGTGTGAAATTCACATAGCTACTTCAACTTTTCTTTGGTAAGTATACCAAGCATACTATCGTTAGATTTTTAATGTTATATGTAAGCACACTTAATTAGATTTAAAGACATTTAAATAACTTCTCAATGTTACATTTTAGTAATGTGGGAAAGCCTTGTAAAAATATGATCCCAATTAAGTAAGATTTACAGCTTGAGGTTCCTCAAGTGATCCAAATTTGTTTGGTGATTCCCGTGGAGAGCTTGTGCTTGTTCTAAAACTTCAAGGTGATGAATTCATTCTTTCCCCCATCTTCTTTTATCTGTCTTTTCTCTACTCCTCTCTTTCTTTTCTCAGATCTGGTACCTCTCTGTGTATCCTGGGAGGGGAGCGCGGGCGGGCCGACTAGAATGCCTGATGATTTGCTTGTAGTTCATCCTTACTTTGAGGCTGTAGCTCTTCAGAATCCTAGCTTGATACAAGGGGCATCTGTCAGCGTTTGGGAAGGTCCTGGGCTTTTATTCTTGCCTCCCTCCACAGCAACTGTGAAAAATCACAGCTTGGTTTTGGAGCTTTTTCTTAGACTGGCAAGCCTTCCCAGGCTTGGAGAGCTCCCTTAACTTTCTGGGCAGTCTCCTGTTTTTGGCTTTTGCCCTAGCTATTTCTCACTTTGTGCTGTTAAGATTATATTCTTATAAGTAATCCACTATCATTTTCAGTTGTCCTTAGTAAGAGGGTTGATCCAAATGATGTGGCTCACAATTACCAGAAACAGAAGTCAGCCTGTTCCTTTTGGGGAGTTGGCATCATCCTGTCCACATTTCCCACCTGGTCTCTCCTGCTCCTCCTCACTCTACCTCAGAGGTTTTCCCTGGCCCAGGCCTTAAATGCCAGTCTTCCTTATAGCACACACCCTATGTGTTTTCCAATAAGCTATTTTTTGGATCTCCGTTACTGCCAGGGAGGTTCACGGCTCCCATCGGCACCCCTAGTCCAGCCTCTCTCCTGCGTTCCTCAGTGTAACTCCAGTTACCCATTGGCTATTTTGTTTGAATCTTTACAAGTCACTGTGTTCAAACCTGAACTTGTCATTTCTCCTACATCTGGTCCTCTTGTGTTAGCCCACAGTAAACAGCACCATCATTTGCTAGATCCTCCAGATACTCAGCAGTACAAACTATCTCAGATTTCTAGCATTGTAATGATACTTTGCAATCATAGGAGCAAATGATTATTAGGATGAAGTCTTTAGGGTGGGCCCCATACAGTGTGACTTCTGTTTCTATCAAAAGTGAAAACACAAGACCACATCAGGAATTCCTTCACATTGAAAGGAGGTTGAAGACAGGGTGAGAAAAGTATGGGGAGAGGGAATCATACCCCTTATGCAGTATTGGATCTTGTGGGATTTGGGGGGTACAGGCAGTGATGGTTTGGGACCATATTCAGTCCTAGGGAGTGTTCTTCCCAATTTTTCGTGGAACAGTGATAACCACAGCCCTAGGAGGGGCAGAGGCATTGGGATGAGAGTCCTTCATGTGGCTTTTGGTTGAATGGACATGGTAGACGACTTATTCTCAAACATGAGTAAAACCCTTACCAGGATGAGAAGGGGAAATAGGAGACACCACTGCAAAAACTCTAGAGGCTGAGATCTGGAGATATCTGCTTTACTTACTAATGCCCATAAGCGCCTTACATCACGGTGGGGGAGACACAACTGTTTTTCTACACCTCAGAACTCAGAGCCAAGTTTCAACCCCAAAAGAGCCAATGCGAGGTCCCAAGAAGGAACTTCTGGGAGCAAAACAAAGTTTACCTTGTGTGTCTGATCACACAGTCAGTTGGTCCAGGATCCTTCCTAAGGGCAAGGACCTGCAGGAGAGGAGCATCACGGCTGCCTTCTCCAATGCCCCCTCACTGTTTTGACCCTCATCTGGCTTCAGAGATACCTCAGAGCTCTAGACTCTAAAACTTTCCATTCTTTTGGCTTCTATTCATATCTTGAGGGTTCTTGGAGAAGAGTTCTCCAAGGGTCAGAAGGTGTCTGGGTTTTGAGCAGCTGGTTTAGGGGATGAGATGTCTCTCATCATCTGCTGCAGAGCATGGCTTCACTTCCTCTATCAGATTAGTACTTACAGAAGATGCCAGCAGAACTGCTGCTTTAGATCCCTGGTTTGTTTGTTGACATCTCCAGATCTCTAAGCACCCATGGTCACCAAGGTCTTTCTGACTCCTCCTATTCAGGCTTTGGGCTCTTACTTCCTTTGGGAGCAAGAGATCCAAGCTGATTTGGGAAATGTTCACTGCAGAGGGGTCTGGCACCATGTCCAGGTCAGCAAGGCTATATTTAAATGGCTATATTTGTTTTCCTACTCATTTGTCCCAACCTGGCCCCTCCTGCTGCCCCCACCCCCACCCCCTGTCCCCACCAGCCTGTCTTGCACCAGCAGCCCGCGTCGTCCTGTCGTTTCTACTCACCCTTCTCCAGCTGTGCAATTGTGGTCTGGGCCACAGGCTATTTTTTGCTTAGTTCCAAAGATTATTCAGTTATCAGGAATGTGTATTTAAGTGGCCGTCTCCGGAATAAGGGTTATAAATAGGAACTCAGGGTCAAGGCCTGGGCCCCAGTGTCCTCCTCTTTTTTGTCCCAGTTCCTGTCTTGCCTCTGGGGTGGTGAACACCCTGAGGTCAAAGCAGGAGATAGCAGGTCCAAGGTTGTCTAGAGGAAAGGACCAGAGGTCCGGGTCTGGGAGCACCTTAGATGGGCAGGTCACCTGAGTTTTCTGAGACTTGCTGTCTTTGTCTGGGCAGCAGAGAGACTCAGACCCAGGCACTGCATGGCAAACAGGTGGTGGGGCTCTCTGGGTCTATGGAGGAAAGTCCATGTCAGACAGATTGATATCTGGGAGATGAAAATGCCATCAGTCACATGCTCATTCTCCCTGGAAGTTAATAATAAAGTATTAAAAAGGGAACAGTAAGCAAGAATAGTTTTGGGATTAAATGTATTTAAAAGCAGAATTTGCTTTAGGGAGTTCCTAGTCTGATGGTGGCTAACCTTCAGCATTAAAGTGTCTAGTCCCAAATGCAGTGGGCACATTTGGACACGAGTGCTCAAGATGAAGCTAGATCTTTTACTGTTGCTTGTTTTTTGTTTTTGTTGTTATTTTTGTCTTTCCAATACAGGGTTTCACTATGCATTTCAGGCTGGCCTTGAACTCACTTTGTAGCCAAAGTTGGGCTCCAACTTGCAGCAATCCTCCCTCCCAAGAGCTGGGCTCGGAGGCGTGCATTTAAAATGCCTAGTTTAAAATGAGGCTAAATCATTTTCTCAGAGAGTAAAGTCTGGCTCCCAAGGCACGGCTCTCCATCTGGGCTTGAGGTCTTGGTCCAGGAAGTTTGGTTTGCAAGTGTGGTGAGGGTCGCTTGGTCAAGAGGATTGATTGGGTTGCTTCCTAGTGACCGGTGATCACTGCTATCTTGCTAACAGCCATCCCTTCAAGCCCTGCCTCAGTCATTTCTTGGTTCTCCTTGACCTCACCCAAGGGTGGAAGGCAAAGGCAGGGCTTCACTGAAATGCAGTGCTAGGACCAGCCCCTGGAGGCTTCAAACTGCTCCTCTGGGCTCCTCCCAAGGCCCCTGCCTGCTGCATCGAGGGAAGGACACTTTTCACCTCAGTTTCTCCACCTGTAAAATGGCAGGAATAGTACACAACTGCCCTCTTTAGAGTTGGGAGGTATGAGAATGGTCAAAAAAATATTGTGTAATAAATGATAATGACAGTCTGTGCAGGACATGGATTGATCTGAGTAGTTTCAAGCTGTGGATGGCAATAAATTTAGTCCAGCTTGCCCATCCTGTGCCCTCAGTCCTTAGACTTTGGCTCTCTGTCTGTCCCTGGGGTGAAAGTTTCTTCATATGACTCTTTTTCAATTGTCCACTCTTCCCTACTGGGCAAATCACAGGCATGGATACCTGGATCTGGAAGATGCTTAGTTTTTCTTTCTCTTAGTGGGCTTGGTGTCTGCCACACCTTCTGTCTCTAGGTTCAGGTCTATTGTCAGGAATGGTACCTTTAGCATCTTTTCTGAGCTCGGCTTTGTTCAAGAGCCTGTTTCTGAAAGTGTGAGTGCATTACATATACACTATCATTAAATGGGATTGAATTTATATTATTATTTTTATATTGACTTTTTACTTAAATTTGTGAGTAAGAAATATAAGTCTGACAGACTATATTTTTGTTTATCTAAAAAAATGGACAGATGAAAGGATGGGAATCAATGTGGAGGTTGGATGGGGCCTGGATTCATGGGCCTCTACAGTGTGAGAACATACTTGTTCTTGACAAGCTAGAGACGTGGAAAGATAGAGTCTTAGGCCTCTAGGCACATTTTTGGGGAGCCCTAGTGGGCCACTGCCAAGCCTTTCTCTGGCTTTATCTCTGGGGCTGTTGTAGCTTGATTTGATGTGTTGAAGACCTAGGACTTTAGTCTGTCCATACAGAAATGAGCAAGAGCAGGTACCATCAGAGGGGATCTCTCTGCTGTTCCTCAGTTGGCTCATGGCAACTTTGAGGGATGGTATGTAGACTTGTTTTAGGCAGCCAACAAAATTCAGTGGCACATAGAACTGAACTGAGGTGAAGGCTTCAGTATCCTTCTTTGAGATCTGAGCTTCTGGCTCTTGCCTTATGACAAAGCCAGAATGTTCTCCCCTGCCTGACCTCAGCACCTTTTCAGCTACCTGCCCCTGTGGCTCCATAGGGAACCTATTTTCTTGCCTCTTACAGGATGAATGCTTTCCTCATTTCTTGGCTCTTGGCCACATTGTTCCAATCTCTGCATTTACTGTTACTTCTCCTGTCATCCCCACCAGAGATGCTAAAAGACAAGGCTGAACTCTAGACCTGGAACATTCTGTCCACAGGCAAGCCAATGCCAGACTGCATGACAGCTCTGTCTATGAGTGAGCATTGTCACCATTGGTATATGGATGAGGTACGTTACATCCAGAGGGAAATAGATGGTGACTCAAGGTCATCCCAGCAAAAGCAAGGCCAGGACTGAAACCAGCAGTTGCTGCCTTCCCCTCAGCATCTCCTTCTGTAGAGGAAGAATATGTCTTGCTAAGAAACTACTTCCTCCAAACTCAGTACCACCTTTAGACCTAGGCAGGAAGGGCCTCATGCTTTGAAGTATCTTCCTTGAATGTTGTAAATCCCTATGTGGCTGGGACTGGCCAAGGCTATATACATCAGTTGGGGAGGGGGTTGGTCCTTGAGGTTGGAATGGGATCTGTGTGGGCTCCAATCCCTGTTTCTCCTCCTCAGGCTCATGCGTGAAGTCAACAAAATACACTAAAGAGCAAAGGGCCGCATGCCTATGATCTTAGAGCCAGTCTGAAGGTGTGAAATGGTGTGTGTGTGTGTGTGGCGGGTTGTCATGTGAAACTGGGCTTTCAAAGTGGCGTTGAGATGCTAGTTTTGAATGACTCAAATGGTTTACACAGATAGGAGCCTAGCAAAAGATATGTGTTTTCCCAGGTCCTACCTACCCTAGAGGTGGCTGTCATCCGTGATATTTAGTCATTTTGCTGTGTCGATGCTTCTTGTATTAATTGATTTTTTTAGTTGTCTTAAAATCTCTTTAAAAAGACCTACACCAAGGGAGAGTTCCCAAATTCCCTTTATTACCCCTTCCTCACCATATTTCACAATACTTAGATTCTTAAAATTTGGTCCAGATCTGACTTCCAAGTAGTTCTTTAGCTGAAACAATCTCCTTTTGTCCTGGCCCCAGTGGACAGTGTTCAGCCCCACCCAACCCTTAGGCTCCTCAAAAAAAAGACTACACAAGGCCCAAGATTTTCAGTTGAACAAAGATGTGATAAAACCTGCCAGAGAACATATGGCTGTCCGTGGAGGTTTGGGATTGTCAGCTTTTACTTGTTTTTGTACAGCTTGTACTTCTACCACGAAGCAGGGCATTCTGGGTTGTTAGCAAAGGCTGTGGCCAAAAGGACCCCACAGAACAGGCATCCTTTGTGCTTGGCACCTGCTCTTTTTCTCTTTATGGCCTGCTTGCTCAACTCCTGACCCAGAGCTTTGTTCTAACACAAACTATGGCCTGTGCTCCCAGTGAAGCTGGGCTGAGGGCTTGGAATGGAACAGCCATCGAGGGCCCTACATTCAGGGAGTGATTGTCCCCTGGTAGACAGAAGTAAATGGAACATCCCTCATCCCGGGAGGTCAATGCTGTGAACCACATTTCCTTCCCAGCAGCATCTGCCTAGGGGCCCTCTCTGAGCCTCTTTGTCTCTCTCTTCTCAGTGGGGCTGTCAAAGCTGAGCCTCACAGGTTGTGACTAATCACTAGCAGATTTTTTTTCCATCCAAGAAGAAGCACAAGCTGAAGGAGATGAAGAAAAACCCCAACAGTGAATAACTCGGAAGACTTTCCAACATGTGGGTGTTTTTCTGGGACCAAAGATCAGGAAGATTCCAAATGTAAACAATCCCAAAATAACCCAGTTCTCTCAACCCCAGGCATTCCCAGGACTGGATGTCCACACTCCCTCCCCTTCCCCTCCGGGAACAGGGGTCAGGGAAAGGTGGCACTGTGAAGATTCACTGGAGTGGGACCTTCAGGCAAAGTGTAGCTCTGTGAGACTGGGGCTGTGTCTTCATCAGGTAACGGTAATGGCCTTTCTTTTTAAGAGAGGGACTTCTTCCTGCCTCATCAAACAAGATGTCCCTGGGAGTAGAGGCCATGGCTGTGGTTCTCTTTGCTCAGAGTTGTATCCCATTGTGTTTAAACCAAAGCTCCTGAGATTTCCTGCCAACATAGTGTAATGGAAAGAATATGGACTTTGAAGTCACACAGAGCTGGAATCTTGGCTCTACAACTTATTAATCGTGTGGCCTTGAATATGTTATTTAGCATCTGGGAATCTCAGTTTCCTCCTTTAGAACTGGGGCAATGATTTTTACCCAAAAAGATAGTTTATCCAAAGTGCCTGGTAGGATGTGCCAGGAAGTGTTCCATGCTTGTCTCTTAGCACCTCTCTCTCTCCATATATATTGCTTGAGCTGGAAAACCAGTTGATTCTTTTCCAGCCTTCTCTTTCCCAAAAGAATGCTGTGTATGTTCAAAGGTAGGAATCATTCCTCCTTCCTGTTTTCAAAAAACACTAAGGTAGTTGTGTTGGAACTTAGGGTGTTGGGCAACAAAGGAACTTGCTCGCCTCTGTGGTAAGCAGCCGTGGCTCAAGTGAGCTGCGGGTGACTCAAGGAGAGAACCAGCCAGTGTCTTCTGAAATCCACGCCATGTTGGAACTTAGGGCACTGGGCAACAAAGGAACCCACTCGCCTCCCTGGTAAGCAGCTGTGAGCCTACTGGTGCACGGGCTGAGAATCAAACATCCCATCCTCCTCCCGCCCCCATTAGCAACTGGCAGCCAGAGGTCTGAGCATCTCTTGGGAGGATGACCTTATGCAATATAGCAAATATGGGGGATTTCCTTTTACCATCTCTTTGAAGGCAAATATTGTCATCACTGTTTTGCTTTGTTCTGATTAATTGTATTGCTCTCTTCAATACTCTGTTTTGACAGATTTTATGATTGGGTCTCACTCTGCTTCCCAGGCTGGACTTGGACTTCTGAGTTCAAGTGATCCTCTTCGTCTCCACCTCCCAAGGCTGGGAATGCAGGTGAGCACCATGGTACCTGACTGAGTGCAAGACCTGTGGAAAGAAATATATTGAATACATTTATTATTTAATATATTTCTAGAGGAGATAATGCTGGAGAATAGTGAAAATTTTGGTTAACACTGTGGAGGTGGTGGCCATGGAGTTACTGGTGCTTATGAAGATGAGGACGTGACAGCAGAGCATGTGATGGTAATGATGGAAACTTTAGAGAAGCTGATGGAAACCCTGGAAGAGCTGATAGAGATTTTTTTTCCATCCAAGAAGAATAAAGAGATGAAGAAAACAAAGAAACCAGTGAAAATCTTGGAAGACTTTTCAACATGTGGGGTTTTTTTCTGAGACCAAGATCAGGAAATTGCAAATCTAAACATCAAGGTGACAGCAGGAGTAGTGTTGGACATCATAGCAGGGGCTCTGGATGAGGTGATAATGAAATTAGGTGAGAGGGGGGTTGGTGCTGGGAATAAAGTGATGGTGACGGTGGTGAGTTTCCAGCGACACAATATGTTTCAATAAATTTGGTGTCGTAGTGAGGTATGATGATAAGAGACCAGATTACTTTCCACCAATCACCCATTGTATAGATAAAGGCACAGACAAAATAAGGTAGAAGAATATAATTAACTGTTAGTTTGACTCTGCAATAGAGAACATTATGCTTTTTAATCATAGCTGATTGAACACATGTGTTTATCTTGGCTTCTCCCCAGTCACCCCACTAAAATATCTTTAATTGAATTTTTTAAAAGGCATAAACCCACAGGAAAAAGAATAGAAAAGGAAATGGTGGCAGGAAAGAGAAGATAACAATTTGGAAATTAGTGAATTGAAAAGTTGTACCTGACATTAGATCACAGAAAACTGAAATCCAGGCTTGCAAGGGTGAGAAGGCATGTCTTAGTTACTTTTCTCATTGTTGAGATAAATACCTGGCAGTCAACGTTAAAGGGAGTAAGATTTATTTAGCTCAGTTTATGGAGGTTTCAGTCCATAATTGGCTGGGTCAAGGCAGGGTGGCCTGGCAGAGGGACATCCCAGAGGAGAAGCAGTTCATGGTGGCAGAAGGCAGCAAAAGTTGACAAACAATCAAGCAAGGGGGAGACAAGACTCTTTCTGCCCCATATATTTTATGTAGGTTACTTGCTCTTCACCAGGTATAGCACTCATGCCCTAACTCTTAGCCAGAGCTATGCCAGACTAATCAGTAGATTGATTTATTAATTGTACACACTCTAGATTCGGCCACCTCTGAAAAAGCCCTGTGACCACATGAGACTTTAGGGGGACATCTAGACACCATAAGCGGGTAAATGGCACAAGCCTACAGGTAGCAAAGTATTTCTAGCCACAGAATCCCAGAACAGCCTGGGATGTGAGGCACCAGTTATTCTGAAGGCAGAAATTTGGAATGAGGTTGTAAAATAGAAAGACTGGTTATAAATTTTTAATAGAAGTATCAAGAATTTGCTCATCCCAGGTTTATTTCTTTATCCTGTGAACTCAGGTAGTCATCCTCTTGCATGCTGGCAGAAAACAGAAAGTTAACGCTTTGAAATGTTGAACCAAAAAAGTTCTGGACACAGAGGCACCAGGAGTAGCTGAAGGGGTGGTGTGGAGCCGATCTGAAAGCAGGAGGATTAAGGATAAGTCTGCTTCCTGAAAACCAAGGCCCTGGGCTCTTTCCCTCGTTCTAGTCCCAGAACACTGGCAGCCATGTTAGTTCACATGGAAAATATTGGAAGAGACTTCCTGAGAAAATTGATTTTCTCAAGAGAAAAGACTGCAGATATTGAATCTCAGTCTCCTAATACAACTGAGTGCTACTTAATTATTCCCGGGAAAAGCCCACCTGAGCATACTGTTTTTTTTTCTCCTCTGACAACTTAGAATCAACATTTTAGTGTCTCACACTTCAGATTTTGGTCACTGTGAGCAACTACCTGACATAAACAACTTAAAGGACGGGGAGTTTATTTTGGCTCACGGCTTCATAGGTTTTAGTCCATGGTCAACTGGCTCCAAGGCAGAAACATCAGTAGAATAGCATAGTGGAGGAAATTGCTTCATTCTGGAATCTTGGAAACAAACAGCAGGGGAAGAGCCTGGGAGAAGGGGCCAGGACCAGATATAAAGCCTAAGGTCATGTCCCCTGTGACCCAAATACAACCAGAGTATGCTTCATGAATTTTCCAGGTATCTCTCAAGCCAGTAAAATTGACAGTCAAGATTAACTATCACAAATATGACTGGGCAACTACTAATTACTTGATAGTCAAAGAAAGCCTTCAGCATGGAAGACAGAAGCATGGAGGAGACAATAAAGAAGATGGCACAAATCTATGACTTTCATTTTCAGAATGATACAAAAGATGGTGCCTCTTTTAAATGAAAACTGGGATTTTTTTATAGAATAGAAAAAGAACATTAATGGAAAATATAAATATGACATTTGTATTTAATTAAAGACTAAATCAAAACAGCAAAATAACCCAAGAGTTGAGAGATAAAGTCAATTCTTACCAAAATAGAAAAAAAACTCTAATAGAATTTGACAGAAAAAATGATATGTCCAGTCTAGGAGTAATATCAAAACATATAAGACCTAGAGACAAATCAAATTACCAGAGAAAAATGCCAAACATTATCAAAAGTACAAAAAATTACCAAAAATTTCCTAGAACTAGAGAAGGTGGATTTATAGACTCAAATTTTTCTGAATGCATAGCAAACTAAATTTAAGAAACAACTCACTCCAAAGTACACTGCAAGGAAATCTGAAAACTCTGGTTAAGAAAAATGTAACTTTCCAGAATAGAGAAAAATAGTTTATTTGACAAATATCTGGGAATCAGAATTGTGTTAACATTCATTCAACAACTGCTATCTTGACTAGAAGAAAAAGAATAATGTTTTGAAATTTTAAGAGAAATACCTTCCGAGAAAAATACCTTCCGAACTAGCAACTTATATCAGTCAAACTAGGAGTTCAGCGTGACAAAAAAAAATAAAGAGAATTTTGAACATAAATGGTTTTAAAAATTACTTCCTAATCATTCATTCCCAGGAATATATTGGATAATGTTATTTGCCTTGATTAGGAAGTGAATCCATGAAGAAGAGGGAGACAAAAGATATAAAAATTAAGCATAGATTCACATCCAAGAATCATAGTGAAAGAGTTTCAAGATGATAGAAATCAAAATATGTAGAGAATAGATGATCAAGATGAACCACAAAGATGAGACACTGTGAGAGGGAGGTCCCCATGAAGGAAATGAAATTGTTAATAATACACAGCCAAAGGAATTTTTTATTCTGTTGAAGGATTTAATGAATTAGTAAATGACAGTATGGAAAATTAAGCCAATAGCAAAATCAACAATTTCTAATGTTGAGAGAACCAAAAACAGACAAGAAAAGTGGTTTGAGTGTTAATAGTTATTAATAGTGGTTGTTAGTTAATGGGCTATGGGAGCTGAGTGCTTATCTTCCATAGTATAAGATCAATAGATTAAAACCTAAAAGTAAAATATGTGAAAAATACAGTATTACTATGTTACTTAGAAATGTGGGAATAAAAGTAGAATTAAAATAAAGTACTTGCCTCACAAGAGGACTCAGAAACAAATAACTTTGGCACCATAGTTCAGTGTTTTTCATTATAAACATTGTAGAACATTTCATATTTAAGATATGCACATGCATTACTTTGATAAAAATAAAAATTTAAGTAGAATATAAAAATGGCAAACTCTAGTGAGCCATGTTAGATGATGTGGAGAATGTCTCAACGAAATAAATCAGTCCAAATGGCCCTGAACCAAAATCAGCTAAAAAACCTGCTTCATCTACTTGTCTTTAGGTCCAAACCCAAGTCTTGGATGTGTCCACATTCACCAGAAAGCCGCAAAAGGGAACTCAAGAAACACGGGAACATCTTACATTTGCTCTATTGCTTAGGCCTTTCCAGGATCATGTGGCCACCACATGGAAGAAAGAAGAGTGGATGGAGTGGCAGGGAGAGGATCAAGCCAAAAAGAAAGCTTCTCCCTGGGAGAGTAGCCTCATCCCCATACTGCGTCCATGTGGGGTAGGTATTCGGTCTGGCACAGTGTCTCTGAAACCAGCACAGTACACCACCGGATATTCTTAGGCCAAGTAACCATTGCATACTCTTTGAAAGCAGAACAAGGGGGAGAGCTGTGAATGACTCCCCGAATTGAACAATGATGGTTGTAGTGAAGCTGAGATGATGCCACTGATAAAAGTAGAAAAGTGACAGTGACTTTTTTTACAATGAGAATATTGGTGGTGTTTAAAAATAATGAGACTAGCAGAGTAAGTGGTGTGTTACCCCACTTTCCCATTAGTGGAGCAAACTACCTGATACCTACAGTTTAAAGGAGAAGAGGTTTAGTCTGGTTTAGTTGATGATCAGCTGGTTCCAAGGCAGGAGCATCATGGAAGAGAGGCATGGTGGGACAAACCTCACTTTGGCCAAGAAGCAGAGAAGGGAAATAATGCCAGACAGGAAGGGTCCAAGGACCAGACACAGCATCCAAGATCATGCCTCCACGACCTGCTCAGCCACACCCAGAAATTCAGGTTAACTCTGATAAGTGGTAAAGACAACTCTGGCGCCTCAGCGAGTGCAAATAATATTAATACAAACAATGGAAATAAAGGTGGGGGTAACTATAGTGACACAGTGAAAGTGACTGTATGAATGATGATAGGTATGTTAGTATCAGCAGAGTCGGTGATTGTAGAGCAGAGCTAATGGCAATCACAGTAGAGGTGATATAGTGATGATTGTTGTAGTGGTGAGATTGTAATAATAGAGTTGGTGGCAATGACAGGTGACAGAAGAGAAAGTGAAAGCCACCGAGATAGAATTCATAATTTTGAGATCAAAGGTGAACATGAGTGGTGGTACTTAGTGATGATAATGGTAAAATTGTAGTGTTGGTGTTGGAAGGGATGGTGGGAACATTGACAGAGATGATGGATTTTGTAGTGGTGGGGGTAATGGAATTGGGAAAGAAGGCAAAGATGACGGATATAGCAGTGACCAAAAATATCGTAAATCTGAAGATAGACAGATCAAAAGACAGACAGGCAGGGAGGATATATAAAGACGTTGGTTTGGACAAGCCAATGTGCTGCCATAATGAACAAGCTCCACACCTTAGAGCATTTGCAGAACAAAAGTTTAATTCTCACAGGAGGAGGATCTGCTCTCATAGTCACCCAAAGCCCTCTAATGACAGATGATCCAATTCCAAGAGCTTTAGAATCACCATGGTGATAAAAAGGTGATATGATAAGTTAGACACTATTTCTGTATTGGTCAGATTGGGCTGTGTTAAAGGGTGGTAATGAAAGACTCCAAAATTTCTATTACGTTCCATAATGGAATTTCTCATTCACATTCTGTATATGTTGTAGGTTGGCTATGGCTTTGCTTTATATCATTTTCTCCCTGGGATCCAGGCTGATGGTGTAGTCTCTATCTATAATCTTGCTAGGCTTGCAGCAGAGGGTTAATTTGTTAAATATGTGTCAGGATTTCACACTTTTACTGAGAAGTGTCCCATACCATTTCTGGCTACATCTTGATTACTAATTTCTCCTTCTCTTTTCTATTCTTCTTCTTCGTCTTTTGTGGTGCTGGCAGTCAGACCCAGGAATTCACATCTGTTAGGCAGGTGCTCTCCCACTGAGCTATATCCCCAACCCTCAAAACTAATTTGAAAAAGGCAGATAATTACAGTATTTTCATTTACCTGAAAAGAAATATGGAATATTTATTAACTCCTCAAGGATGATGATAGGGACAGTTTGTTCACAGAGTACAAGAGGTGGAAGAATGGAAGTCACAGAAAGCCAGTATATGAAGGAGGAAGGACTTTCTTAAAGCAGGAAGATCTAGCGACAAGGAGAAAACAGATTATCTAGAAGAAATAGCAGATGCAAGAGGTACAGCAAATCACAGCAAAGTCCACAAACCCACAACCCCAGTGGTCCTCGGTTCTTTTGAAAGTTTTGGCCTTTAAGAAATCCAACAGATCTGGGAAAGTGTTAGGAGCACAAAATTTATAGAGAACCATCAGAAGACACGGATGCAAGGATTGGAGAACCTGGTATGGAAGGCGTAGAATGCCACGTTGAGATATTTTCTGACATAACCCACAAATTGTGTCACAGTCAAATAAGCGTGGGGAATATTTGACACTTTTTGTACAATAACTGTCTTTGCTTGAGGATGGCAAAGTTATTACACATAGCTTCCAAAGTCACCCTGGGCGTCAATATCCTGGTTAACAAAAACAAAAGAGCAAGAAGGCAGCACATGGGAGGTTTTTAAATGAGCCAGACCAGCCAATGGAGCACATTTCTACTCAGATATCATTGGAAGTCATTTAGCATGTGGATGTCTTTAACTGCAGTGGAGGCTGGAAAGCATGATCTAGATGTTTGTCCAAATGAATAGATGAGGTTTTAGGGGTCAGCTAATGGCTTCTGTGATAGCACTCTTAAAATTGTTGAAGGACCTGTGTGTGAATGAAGTCCAAAAAGTTACCAAATTTCTTCCGAGGAGAGAAAGATATAAGGAGTGCAGTATTGGCTTATTGGCTTATTAATGGAAGTATTGGGTTATTGATGAAAGTACTTTCTTGAGCACTGTAACAGACTCATTGACTAAGGACTGGGCATGAACTGGAGAGCTCCCATCTGACTCTGAATTTTGATTTCTGATTCTAAGTACTTTGTTTAGAAATCTTCGGCCATTAACACTTCTGTGAATGTGGAGCCTGCTCTGTTTCCAAAAGTTCTGGTGATTTGGGGCTGGGGATTTAGCTCAGTGGCATAAGCACCTGCCTTGTAAGCAGGCAGTCGTGAGTTTGATCCCCGGCACCGATAAAAGTAAAAAAAAAAAAAGAAAAAAGAAGTAAAAAAAAAAAAAAGTTCTGGAGACTAGAAATATTGACTACTAAATCCACACAGAATAGTGCATACGAATAAATGAGAAAAGATAGATATTTTTACCCACTGTTTTATTTCCTACTTCCATAACGTTCTTAACAACTTCTTATTTTAAATGTCTGAAAAATAAGGTTCTATTTGATGCACATGCACTCATCACAAATTCCCTCATATCCCCAGCAGTGATGGTGAAAATTTTAGAGTTTTCAGTGATAACAATCAGCTCTCTTGGCACGCGTGCCATAGGTTTGCCACCACTGGACTGGAATATTCCTCATTGTGTTGTGCTGTGCTGCCAATATGATAGTACTTATCTATGTGTGCTCTGGAGGTAATGTTTTAGTGGTTGGATACTTGTGTACAGGTCAGGTGACAGCTTCAAGGGTTACCCCTAAATCTTGCAGTACTGAAATGTCCATTAGTCACCTCTGTTGTTCATCTTTGTCGGCTGTGTCTTTGTAAACCAGCCTGAATGCCACACTGCTCACCTCCAAATCCTTTTTCCTAATTTCCAGTCACTGTCTTCTAAATCTTGGGTTCTTTCCAAAAACTGCCAACTTTCTGTATTCCTCTGTTGAGGAATTTCTTTCTATTTATCTCTCTTCTCTCTTCCCTGAGGCTAGGTTTGCAAAACATATGGCCTTCCAAAGTACTTTGTTTAGTATGAAAGTATATACTTAGAAGACAGAATATTGTTCGCTTAGGAGGCAGAATCACTGTAGTTAGGGCATTCAGTGGGTTCTCCCACCCATTACTATTTATCCCTTCACTCATTTAGCATCTTATTGGGCACCTACTGTTATACTGGGCACAGAGCAAGAAAAGAACTTAACATAAATAAAGGACCCAGTAATTGGTAGCTCATTTTCTTCCCTCCCTTCCTATAGAAAATTCTCCCTGCTGGTGAAATGATGTCACTGCAAGGCCTTTACTTCTACATTCTGGGGAGAGCTGTCCAGCAGAATGATTGGCTATCTCTGAATGTCCTTTATGTCCTTAGCTTCCCACAGTGGAGACTTTATCTCAAGGATGGCTCAGGTCTGAGTATTCAACCTCTAAGACCACCTCTGAACTAAAAGATTTGTGGATGACAGTGGTAGTAACCCTAACAGTTGATATTCCCTGTGTAGAAAGAAAATCCAGTCTTTATAACTGATAAACACATAAGACTCTGGGCAGAGTGCTCCAAGGACGTCTTATTCAGTTGATTCTAAGGTGCCAAGTTTGGTAGGGTGTCCCTATCTCTTTGTTGTCTCTTGTTGACTTAGCTTTATGAGACACAGTGGGGTGGCAGTGGGCCAGTCACCCCTTGGGAAGCAGCAGGGACTTGTTCAGACTAGAATGTCTAGGGCAGGATTTTTCTGCAGGGGTCTGGCTCCAAGAGTCACCCAAATGGTTAGGGACCAGAACAGCACCCCCTTTCCCAGCCCAGGCACCCTATTGGACAAGGGGTTCCAAATTTGCACAGCTCCCAGAGAGCGCTATTATCGTGACATTTGTAAAAGGACCCAAGTTCCAGAGGGTCCCATGCTGCAAGGCTGTCATGGGAATGGTGCCCCTAAGGTTGTGCAATATGGCAGCCATACTTTAATATTACTTTCTTTAATAGTATGTTCCCTTTGAGTGCAAAGAACTTTAAGGCTTTAAAGCATTTACCTCGGTGCTCTCAATGCATGCTTGAAACATTCTAAATCAAGTGGAATTTCCATTTCCTAGAGGGGAAACTGAGACCTTCAGAAACTGGCTTCATTCAAGTCATACAGCAAGAAGCAGAAGAGCAGGAGAAAGGGGGGTAACACAGACCCTTTCCACGTCCCACAGCCCACAGCCCACATCCCACCTTGCGTCTATATCCCAGCCTCTCTCCCCTTTGTCCCAGGCCCTGTCTGTCAGATGCTCCTGGTATCCAGAAATCTGAGATGCCTGGAGAAGAAGGAAGAGACAGCAAGCAGCTATGAGCTCATCTGTGCCGGCGCCGACTGCCCCTGTGGGACCCTTTTTCCATGGTAGGGTCCAGACTCCTCGGGTGGTGATGACTTCAGGGCTGGAGATTCCCCACTGGCCACCCCAGGGAATGGACACTGGCTTGTGGTGCAT